TGTTTTGTAACGGAAAAGCACATTGACGCTGCTTTACTTAGGTTGATTACCAACTTATTATTGAACAACCAATGGTTCACTTCTTCCATACRGGCAGACCAAACATCAGCCGCCTGCTCCGGTGTCTTAGCAGGTACATAAAACACTGCATCGTCTGCATAAAGCTGACAGTTTACACCACTGCAAATGACTTCAGTTGCCAGATTTAATAGCCTCTCATGTGGATCTATTACAGATGGCAACTGAGCACAGACTTTATACTTTAGACAGAAAGAACGGATGGTTTGACAGAGGTGTAAAGGAAGCTGTCTATGTGAAACAAGAAAATCAACATTAAACAGACGAGGAGGTCTCAGATTTTAACTCTCCAAAACTTACAATATAGTTTAAAGCCTGATTCCCTCAGGTCCAGTCCAACTCTCCCTCAGGTATGTGACTGAGACCCTCATGAGCAATCATGCAGTTGTCTGGATCTGTTAGCAAAATATCTCAAAAACTACTGGACAGGTTTTATTGAAACTCTCAGTTGGCAATCATTGATGCATATCTATAATCTATCAGATTTAAAATGGCAACCACAGTGAATATACCTGAGAGAACCCCAAAATGACTTTAAATAAGCCACTTTTCCTGATCTAAAGCAAAAATTTGATTGATTAGAGATGAGTGCCACCTTCATTACATGGTCCAAGCTTTAACAGATCATGCACCATCTTTATTTCAAACGTTAGCCTTAAGATGATGAGTTAAATGCATTCTTTTTAGAGAATGTTATTTGTCTTCAACATGACAGTATACATAAAAGAAGAAAGCTCTTGTGTTTTGATATTTGTTTTGTGTATGTAAATGTACAATAATCACCATTCATCTATGAAATCATAATTGAATTCACATTTCTTTGCAACATTTCTATGAATAAAAATAACCCATGTTTTATTTCTCTGTRTGGTTTCTTGAGGTCACACAAACAAGGCCTTAATATTTATTTTTATTAACCCCTTAACCCCCAATGTGTCGCCCACGATACATTCACAGTTTGTAGTTACTTCCTGCCTCTTTATAGCCTGACCCATGATACCAGGGATGTTTAATTTGCATAATAGGCTGTTCAAACAATTCAGTTAGTTATCTTATTTTGATTGACACCTCTCTTGACCAACWGAGTTCATCCATAGACTCTCCAGAGCAGTGGTTCCCAAACCTTTTGTCTTCTGACCCACAAAATATCCACGGCAAAAACTTGTGACCCCAAATATTACTGGTCTGAGTACACGAACTTCATTAATAACTCTAAATACACAGGCTTTTTGACAATCTAAACAGCTTGTACACAAATATAAATACTTAATTTTACTTATTTTGTGGTTTTGTAATAATTATAGGGAACATATTACATCAGCAATTATTTTATTA